CCATGAGCTGGGTGTGGTGGCTCATGCCTGAAAATCTAGCACTTAAGAGCTGGAAGCAAGAAGGGTCAGGAGTTCAAAGCCAACCTAGAATACAGGAGACCTTGCTTTAAAAAAAAAACAATCCGGGTGTTCATGGACCACACTTTTAATCCCAGTACTGGGGAGGCAGGGACAGGCAGATCTCTATGAGTTCGAGGCCATCCTGATCTACAGAGCGAGTTCCAGGACATGCTCCAAAAACTACAGAGAAACCGCGTCTCGAAAAACCAAAACCAAAACCAAAAAAGCCAGGTGTGGCCTTACACTGGTAAATTTCTGAAACTACAGAGTGGTAAGAGTGAAGACAGGAGGATTGCAGTTGTTAGTCTAGCTCCAGGAAATAAGACAGTGTGATGGAGAAGAACAATTAAAAGTTCTCCGAGCTAGGCGGTGGTGGTGCACACCTTTAAACCCAGCGCTTGGGAGGTAGAGGCAGGCAGAGCTCTGAGTTTGAGGCCAGTCTGGTCGACAGAGTGAGTCCCAGGACAATCAGGGCTGTTATACAGAAAAACCCTGATAAAAAACAACAAAAGCCCTCCCTCCTCTGGCCTCTGTGTGAAAATGTACTTGTGTGTCCACATACACGCACATTAAGAAGCGGGAAGCACTCTGCAGGCTGAAGCAGGAAGATGATATCCATGGCCAGACTGACTACATAGCAAGTCTCTACCTCAAAAATGAAAAGGCCGGGTGGTGATGATGTACACCTTCACCTTTAATCCCAGCACTGGGGAGGCAGAGGCAGGCTGATCTCTGTGAATTTGAGGCCAGCTTGATCCACAAAGTGAGTTCCAGTTCAGTCAGAGCCATAACAGAGAAATCCTGTCTTGAAAAACAAAACAACAAAAATATTTTTTTTCTCTACTTATTTAAAGTGTATGTGTGTCTATGTGCATGCACACAATGTCCGTGCAGGTTAAAAGAGGGTGTCAGAACGCCTGGAACTGATATTACCAACTACTGAATGGAACCCAGGTCTCTGAAAGAGCAGTCAGTGCTGTTAGACCCTTAGGTCACCTCCCTAGCCCCTGACTTGACGTTCTTTTCTTTCCTTGTTTCAGTTTTTTGAGACAAGTTTTCTCAGTAGCTTTGGAGCCGGTCCTAGAGCTTGCTCTGTAGATCAGGCTGGCCTCGAACACAGAGATCCGCCTGCCTCTGCCTCCCGAGTGCTGGGGATTAAAGGAGTGCGCCACTACCGCCCGGCATAGCCTTTCTAAGGCTGCAATGCTTTAATACAGCTCCTCATGTGTGATGACCCCCAACCATAAAATTATTTCATCGCTACTTCATAACTGCAACGAATAATAATGTAAATATCTGCCGGGCGGTGGTGGCGCACGCCTTTAATCCCAGCACTCGGGAGGCAGAGGCAGGCGGATCTCTGTGAGTTGGAGACCAGCCTGGTCTACAAGAGCTAGTTCCAGGACAGGCTCCAAAACCACAGAGAAACCCTGTCTCGAAAAACCAAAAAAAAAAATAAAAATAAAAATAAATAAATAAATAAATAAATGTAAATATCTGACATGCAGGATATCTGATATACAACCCCAAGGGGTCATGACCCACAGGTTGAGAGTCATTCATTGATTTGGGGATAGTGATGTCCTACAATGGGGAAAATAAATTTGTAAGAACTCTTTGGCCGGGCGGTGGTGGCGCACGCCTTTAATCCCAGCACTCGGGAGGCAGAGGCAGGCGGATCTCTGTGAGTTCGAGATCAGCCTGGTCTACAGAGCTAGTTCCAGGACAAGCTCCAAAGCCACAAAGAAACCCTGTCTCGAAAAAACCAAAAAAAAAAAAAAAAAAAAAAAAAGAACTCTGTGGCATGTGTGTGTGGGGGGGGTGTATATATGTGTGTGGGCGTGTGCACATACTCCACCTGTGAAGGTCAGAGGACAACTTGCAGCAGTCAGTTCTCTCTGCCCACCATTTGCATGCTGGGGGAGGGAAGGAGCTCAAGACTTCAATCAGGCTTTCTGGAGAGCACATCTGCACTTTCTCCTGCTGAGCCATAGTCGTGGCCCTCGGTTAATTTTAACTACAGGAAAAGTCTGCTGTGTAGTTTAACAGGCCTGGCTTTACTAATTAGCATCAAACCTGTCCTGTAGGTAGGAGGCTTTTAAAAAGTTTGTTTCCCAGGCACGATGAGCCACGTCTTTAAACCCAGCACTCCAGAGACACAGACAGGCAGAGCTCTGTGAATTTGACTCCAGCCTGGGTTAGATAGTGAGTTTCCAAGTCAGTCCAGGGCTACATAGAGAGACCCGGTCAAGAGAGAAAAGGAGAGAGAAGACAGAGAGAGAAGGTACTCCACATTCTAATCATAATTTGTGTGAAATAAGTCTTATTCATGGTGGTATGGGTTTGAATTGCCACTGGGCCTCCATAGCTCTGGCCTGGGGGTGTGGTCTTGACCACTTCTCTTATGTGGCAGAAGAGAGAATCTGGGGAGCTGGATGTGACTGGGTTGTATGGACTGAATACTTGCTTGTCAGTGATGGGAAATATTTCCCTATGAAAGGGATTGGTCTAATGGCAGAGTAATAACACCTTCATTCATCTGAAAGTTATTAAGAGTAGCCTGAGTGCTTAGCATGCATAAGGTTAAGAGTTCAGTCCCCAGCACCCCAAAATACTGATAGATAATAACTATTAAGCAGCCGGTAAATTAATATTCGTAGTAACCAATTTCAAAACAGCCATAAGGAAGCTGGAAAGATGGCTCAGCAGTTAAAAATCCATACTGCTGCCGGGCAGTGGTGGTGGCAGCACAGGCCTTTAATCCCAGCACTCTGGAGGCAGAAGCAGGAGGAGCTCTGTGTGTTCGAGGCCAGTCTGGTCTACAGAGTGAGTTCCAGGACAGCCAGGACTATTTCAAAAAAAAAAAAAAAAACCCAAAACCCATAATGGTATTACCAAGAACCTAAGTTTGGTTCCCAGCATCCATGTTATACAGCTCATAACTGCCTGTAACTCCAGCTCCAGGGCATCCAATACACTCTTCTGACTTTTGTGGGCACCATGCACTCGTGTGTATAAACACACACAGCTGTATGAATCACACATAATTTAAAAAAAAAATATGAGCTGGAGAAATGGCTTAGTGGTTAAGAGCATTCCCTGCTCTTCCAAAGGTTCTGAGTTCAATTCCCAGAAACCATGTGGTGGCTCACAACCATCTATAATGAGGTCTGGTGCCCTCTTCTGGCATGCAGGCATACAGACAGAATATTATATATTTAATAAATATGTCTTAAAAATACAACCAGGCTTGGTTGCACACACCTTTAATCTCTGCTCGGGAAGCAGAGGCAGGTGGATCTCTTTTGATTTGAAGGCCAGCCTAGACTACACAGAGAGTTCCTGGACAGCAAAGACCCTGTCTCAAAAAAAAAAAAAAAATCGAATTCCTAATGTTCTTCTCCCTCATGCTAAGGACCATTAAACTTTTAAACTTTCAGGTTTTAAACCTCTAAATACCCCCAGCAGGGGTAAGCAATGTTCAATTCAATTACCCCCATAGCCAAGATCGAACTTTCAAAAGAGGGCCATGACTCTGGGTCAGGAAGGAGCCAGCTGCATCAACACATCATAACGAAGGAGCTAATGTTCCCACCTCCACTTAAGAGACAAACTGAGGTTTAAAGAAGGGAAGCCAGTAACAGGCAAGACGGCTAAGCCAGTAAAGGTACTTTTTTTTTAATATTTATTTATTTATTATGCATACAATATTCTGTCTGTGTGTATGTCTGCAGGCCAGAAGAGGTTACCAGACCTCATTACAGATGGTTGTGAGCCACCATGTGGTTGCCGGGAATTGAACTCAGGACCTCTGGAAGAGCAGGCAATGCTCTTAACTACTGAGCCATCTCTCCAGCCCCAGTAAAGGTACTTGCCACCAGGCCTATGACCCGCTTTGGATTCTCACGACTTAGTGGTGGAAGCAGAGAACACTAAAGATGTCTTCTGACTCTCACAGGTACTTGTGCGCACACACACACAATCAACAAATAAACATAATTAAAAAGCATTTAAAAGTGAAGTCACTGAAACTGGGGAGATGCCTCAGTTGACAAAGGGCTTCCTGTGCAGGCATGAGGACCAGGGTTCAGAAGGCAAAGCCGGGCAGGGCTCTGAATTTGAATCCAGCCTGGTCTATATAATGAAGGTTCTATATAATGGGTTCAAGCCCAAGAGCGTTTGTAATCCTGGTGCTTGGGAGGTGGAAACAGGACGATTCTAGTGGCCCACTGGCCAGCGAGCCTGGCCTAATCTTCAAACTTCGGTGCAATTAGAACTTGTCTCAAAACACAAAGGTGGATGGCTCCTGAGGCCGACCTCTGGACTCCACACTCACACACACCAAGTGAAGCTACTGGTCTAACTTCATCAGGCTGGGAAAGAGAGAGCGCCCCAACTTGGACCCAAAGTTCTCTGGACTCCACAACCCCAGGGCCAGAGACCACGAAGGAAGGGGTGAGGAAGACAAGAGAACGCGTGCACCTCGACTTCTCTTTTCTTAGGCGGAGAGCGGAGAGCTCCTTGGTGGAGGGGATCATCCCAGTCCCGGAGACCCCAAGCTCTCAAGCAAAACCGAAGGCTCCAACCGAGAGGTGACCCCCTCAACCGCCCCAAACACACAGTAGGCGCTCAAGCTGCCAAAGCAATAGCTCAGACCCCATCACCCCCTGGAAAGGAGAACTCGGCCCAGATATCTGTGAAGCAAGGGGTGGGAGGCTGGAGGCCCTCGAGGCCAGGCCTCGCGGGGACGCGGGTGTCCCCAGTGCCTGGCTCACAGTGGGAGACCATTGAGACGCGGCGGGTCAGCGCGCGGGCGTCACGCGCTCCTGGGGGCTACTCTTGGCCCGGGCTGCAGCAGGCCGCGACCGTCCCCAGTCCGGGTGCCCCCCCCCTCCAACGGTCTCCCGGCCCCGCAAGGTGACCGCGGGCGCACCGCCCACCTTCTGAGCCGCGCGCACGTTGTCCTCTCCAAACAGGCTGCTCACGCTCTGCGAGAAGGTGCTGGCCGAGCGCCGGTGGCTGTTCTTATCCGCAGCCCCGCGGCCCCGAGCCCCCTGCGCGCCAGGGGCCACCAGCGCCAGCAGCATCACTGCCAGGAGCAGAAATAGCAGCAGCAGTCGCAGGCCGACCCGGACCCGGGGCTCCTGGGACGCGCGCGCACCCATGCTCGGCTTCGGGAAGAGGGTCTTGGGGATGGGGTGGAGGGGAGAAGGCGGAGCGCACGGCCACCGAGGGCTCCGGGCCGCACCGCGTGGGCGCGCCTTCGCCCCGCCCCGCCCTACAGCCCCGCCCCGCGCACGAAGCCCCGCCTCCCGCCCGCAGAAGTCGCTCCCCCCCCCCCCCCCTAGCACCGCCGGGGCACCTCCTCCGTACTCCTGGAGAATCAATAGAGCGCAGCTTGCAAAGGCTCCTTGCTGGGCTGGGCTGGGCTGGGTTGGGTTGGGCCCTAGCAAGCGATTGGGAAGCCGAAGGGCAAGTGTGTGTCACCTCCCCGCACCCCAAAAGCAGGCCGTGTGGAGCTGGCGTTCATTTGTTCTCAGGCCCCTCCTGCAGGGATGGCATTTCCGAGCCATCGAAGTGGTTGGAGAGGGGAAGTTGGTGATGGGACAGGAAAGGCGACCTAATGCGCGAGGAGGGAACCGGATAAGTGGTTTGGTATTGTGCAACCCTTTATAAAGGATTTGATGGGATCAACGGGTATTCCTTCGGTCTCAAGTCAAAAGAGGTTGGGTGGGGGAGGGTGTCTAGAGTTGGTCCCGCCAGTCAGTGCTGGTGTCAGGAAGTACCTGCGCCACCTAGAGGGACTTAAGGGTGCGAAGAGTCCAAATGTACCGGAGGAATTTACAATCTAAAATTAGGGGCTTCCTACATGAAAAGCCACTGGACTTCTTATATATGTATGAACCTCATGGCATGGCAGGCAAAAGGACCAGAGGAGTATGGGTTTGAAAGATTTAAGAGCCACGATAATTATTATTACAGGCATGGTGTGTGCTTGTAAATCCAACCCTAGCGAGGCCGAAGGAGGAAGGTCAGGCCAGCCTAAGTTATACCCTGAGTTCCAGGCCGGCCAGCCCTACATAGTAGGAACCTGCCTCAAAAACAGTAAAATAGCGTACATGGGAGGACTCGGTAGGCAAGGAACGAGTAGAGATTATATATTTGAATTTAAAAATAATAAAACAACAGGGCGGCAGTTGTGCATGCCTTTAATTTAACCCCAGCATTCGGGAGGCAGAGGAAAGCGGATTTCTGTGAGTTCGAAGCCAGCCTGGTTTACAAACCAAGTTCCAGGACAGCCAGAGCTACACAGTGAAAGCTTGTTTCGAAACATAATAATAATAATAATGAGGGCTGGAGAGATGGCTCAGTGGTTAAGAGCATTGCCTGCTCTTCCAAAGGTCCTGAGTTCAATTCCCAGCAACCACATGGTGGCTCACAACCATCTGTAATGAGGTCTGGTAACCTCTTTTGGCCTGCAGACATACACACAGACAGAATATTGTATACATAATGAATAAATAAATAAATTAAAAAAAAAATAATAATGAAACAATGACTCAGATCTGTCATTCTGGCTATGGAAAGCTAAAGCAGGAAGAGAACGAATTCAAAGCCTGCCTAGACTACAGAATGAGTAGAGGGCCAGCCTGGGCAACCTAGTGAGACCTTGTACAAAACATTCATAAAAATAAATCTCTCTTTTAAAAGACTGGGAATGTAGCCTAGCTGCAGGACGTTTGCTTGTCTAGTGCATGGAAGGCCCTAAATCCAATCTCCAGAACCATACAAATTAAATTAATAAATAAAATCCGGGAAACACCATGCCTATATAGCTGATTGCTCCCACAGAGGGATTTGTGGTACCTGGTAGGCAGGGAAGGGCTTCCTCTGAGGGTCCTAGATAACTAGAAATTCCCTGAAATCTCCTGAGGGACTTTGCCACAGCCCAGCCCCTATGCTGACAAATCCTCTGAAGACAAGACAACCTTTGCCCGCTGCTCTTCTCCTCACCCTTGCATAGCTAACCCTCCACCCTCTTCGGCCTGGCCCTTCTTCAGTCTTATCTTGAGGGTGTCTTGTGCATGCGTATGCCCAGAATTGGGTAGTTCTTTTTTTCTGCTGCAACCTCTATATCCTCAATGTATTTCATAGACTCTATGATGGAACCTTCAGAGAATAAATTTTCCGCTTTCCTTCACACTCTAAATCAAACAAGCCAGGTATAGTCAGACATTTGAGACAATGGAAAATAAACCTGGATCCAGTCCAAAGAGAGAACACTGGGGCCAGGGCATAGCACAGTTGGAAGCATGCACCGAGCCCGTGCAAAGGTCCTGGGCCCGTCCCCAGCACCACAAAAAGGGGAAATGAAAGCTGAGATGGCTTGGTAGGTGAGAATGTTTACTGTACAAGTCTGAGGACCTGAGTTCAAATCCCCAGCACCCACACAAGAGAAAACTTGAAAGTTACTTTTGAACTCTATTCTTCTAAATTGTAGAAGTTTCAAATATTATTGGAGGTTTGATTTACTTCTTTATGGATTGCCTTTTCATATATTTTTACTGATATTTTCATGTGATAAACTTTTTTTTTTTTTGATCTTTGAGAATGCTGGGATTAAAGGCGTGCACCACCACCCAGCAAGCAGCACACATCTTTAATCCCAGCACTGGGAAACAGGCAGGCAGATCTCTGTAACATGTCAGCCTGGGGAACCTAGTGAGACCTGGTCCCCAAAACAAAGTATTTTAGAGGGAAATATAATACAACCCCCAGAGAAATAGGGTTTCACTATATAACCCTGGCTGACCTGGACATGACTGTAACACCATCCTGGTCTCAGCCTCACAGAGACCATCCTGCCTCCACATCCCCTCGAAGTGCTGAAGTTCAAAGCATGCACCACCACCACCACCACCTTTTAACTCTGTGTATACCAGTGCGTGGGTATATGCTCTCAGAGGCCAGAGGTGCTGGATTCCCTGAAGCAAGAATTTCAGGCAGCTGCAATCTACCCACTGAGAGTTCTCGAAACTGAACTCTGATCCTCTGCAAGAGCATTGTGGGTTCTTATCTTCTGAGCCATCTCTCCAGACCTTTCTACTGCTCACTCTTAGGAAATACACCTAAGCTGCTGTGTGTGCCTCTTCTTACTGTCTAGGACATTTTTTGTATCTTCTGGATCTCTGTTATTTATATGCTATCTTATTACATTTATTTATTTCTGTGTGTGTGTGAGTGTGTGTGTGTGTGTGTGTGTATGTGTGTGTGCATGCACATGCTGCCATGTGCATATGAAGGACAGTTTTAGCGAGTCAGTTCTCTCCACCTACCATGTGGGTTCTGGGAATTGAACTCAGGTCATCAAGCTTTGTGGGATGTCCCTTTATCTGCTAAGCCAGTGAATGTTTGTAATCCCAGCACTTGAAAGACAGAGGCAGGCAGATCCCTGTGAGTTCTAGGCCAGCCTGGTCTACCTGATGAGTTCCAGGATAGCAGGGTTACACACAGAGAAACCCTGTCTTAAAAAAATATTAAAATTGTGCGTGTATGCAATCCATGATTTAATTCAGATAGTCAGGGTTAGGAGTCAACTGTCTCTACCTGCCAAGCCATCTTAGACCATGCTGGCCTCAAACTCATAGAGACTGTCCACCTGCCTCCACACTCCCACTTTGAAATGCTGGAGCTAAAAGCATGCACCACCATGCCCAGCAAGATTCCTTATTGTAGTTATGTGTGCATCGGTGTGTGGGTATGTGCACTCAGTGGTAGGTGTCCTCAGACCCTGTAATTTTTTTTTCAGAGACAGGATTTTGCTCTGCAACCCAAACTCGGCCTCTTTTCTCCCTTTTTACCCTTTTTTTTTCTTTTCCTTCTTTTTTGAGCTGAACGGTTTAAACTTTCCCACTTCTACAACTGAATTTAGGTTTCATTTCTCTGAGAGGGGCAAACAGGTGTCTCTCCCAACAAAGGACCCTTTATTGATAAATTACATTCAGAGATGAAGGAGAGAACACGAACAAGGCCTAAGTTGGCCCCACAATGTCTCAACAACAGTTCCTGCAACCCCCTTGAAACTTACCCAAGGATGTCCAAAGATAAAGCCTCAATCAATTGAAAGTCTACTAATGTAACTGCTGCTTGCTTCACCAGTTATGTTTGAGGTGACTTAACCATTCCTGAAATTCCCCTAACTTTGCTTGAAAGGAGCCTGCGTGCTCCTTCCTCTCAGAGCTGTTGCCATTTTGTACAATGAACGATGACCCTGCATATGCTGGCTGTTTCTGCCGAATAAAGGCTCTTTGCTTTTATATACTATTTGAGTCTGGGGTCTTCCTCCAGGGTGCTCTTGAACCCCTGCAGAGCTAGGGTCTCAGGTAAGCCAGCCTGCCCTTTAGCTTACTCCTCCATAGACAAGGCCAGCTTTGAACCTGGCCTCACCTTTCTGCTTCCACCTTCCAAGAGTGGGGATTTCACTGTGTCACCACCTGCCATTCAAATTAACTCTCAAACAGAACGAGTGTGGTACAATAGAACTGTTCTATCTGCTGGGTAATTACAGGGTTGAGAAATGCTTCCGAGTACGCCTCAGACAAAGTGACAGAGTGAGTTTTAAACCATTTAATAAAATGCCTTCTTTTTACATCTTCTGTTCTTGCCGTGGGAATATTTTACACATTTTCCTGTGGAATTAACGCACCTCACCTGTGGGGAATATCAGAAAAAGACAGATGAGCAAAGCAAGAAGAGAGGAGACATTATATTTTACAAGTTTAGTAAAATTAATACTAAAAATTTATTTTATTCATTTAGGCATGACCACTTTGCCTGCATGCCATACATGGGCACCACACATGTGTCTAGTACCCTTTCAGAAGAGGTCGCTGGAGTCAGAAATGACTGTGAGCCACTATGTGGGTGCTGGGTACTGAAACTAGGTACTCTGAAGAGCAACAAGTGCTCTTAACCACTTAGTCCCCTCTCTACAACCCCTCTCCCCTATTCTAGAGACAAGCTCTCACTATGTAGATACGGCTGATTTGGAATTTTTTTTTAGACTTATTTATTACGTATACAATGTGCCTCCTGCATGTACACCTCCATGCCAGAAGAGGGCACCAGATCTCATTACAGATAGTTGTCAGCCATCATGTGGTTGCTGGGAATTGAACTCAGGACCTCTGGAAGTGCAGCCAGTGCTCTTAACCTCTGAGCCATCTCTCCAGCCCCTGATTTGGAATTTACTATGTAGAGAA